TTTTTATAGTCCAAATCTCACATCCATACATGACTACTGGAGAAACCATAGCTTTGACTAGATGGACCTTTGTTGTCAAAGTAATGTCTCTGCTTTTTAATATGCTGTCTAGGTTGGTCATAACTTTCCTTCCAAGGAGTAAGCTTCTTTTAATTTTATGGCAGCAGTCACCATCTGCACTGATTTGGGAGCCCCCAAAAATAAAGTCTGCCACTATTTCCACTGTTTCCCCATCTATCTGCCATAAAGTGATGAGATCAGATGCCATGATCTTGGTTTTCTGAATGTTGAGTTTTAAGCCAACTTTTTCACTCTCCTCTTTCACTTTCATCAAGAGTCTCTTTAGTTCTTCTTTTCTGCCATAAGGGTAGTGTCATCTGCATATCTGAGGTTATTGATATTTCTCCCAGGAATCTTGATTCCAGCTTGTGCTCCATCCAACCCAGCATTTCTCATGATGTACTCTGCATAGAAGTTAAATAAGCAGGGTGAAAATATATAGCCTTGACATAGTCCTTTCCCAATTTGGAACCAGTCTGTTGTTCCATGTCCAGTTCTAACTGTTGCTTCTTGACCTGCATACAGATTTCTCAGGAGGTGGGTCATGTGGTCTGGTATTCTCATCTCTTTAAGAATTTTCCAGTTTGTTGTGAACCACACAGTCAAAGGCTTTGGTGTAGTCAATAAAGCAGAAGTAGATGTTTTTCTGGAACTCTTTTGTTTTCTTGATGATCCAGTGGATGTTGGCAATTTGATCTCTGGCTTCTCTGCCTTTTCTAAATCCAGCCTGAACATCTGAAAGTTCACAGTGCATGACTTTTGAAGCTGGGCTTGGAGAATTCTGAGCATTACTTTGCTAGTGTGTGAGATGAGTACAATTATGCACTCATCTCATCAGGTGGCCACAAAGTATTGGAGTTTCAGCTTCAGCATCAGTCCTTCCAATGAATATTCAGGGTTGATTTCATTTAGCATTGACTGGTTTGATCTCCTTGTTGTACAAGAGACTCTCAAGAGTCTTCTCCAGCCCCACAGTTCAAAAGTATCAATTCTTTGGACTTCAGCTCTCTTTATGGTCCAACTCTCACATCTGTGCATGTCTACTGGAAAAACCATAGCTTTGACTTCCTGTGGATCCAAGTAATTCACATGACCAAGCTCAAATTCAAGTCTAGAATTAAGCAGGTCTCTGGTGTGAAGATAAAAATTTTACAAACATTCATAACCAGGTGTGTCTTAAAGCCTTGAGATTTAGGGACTTCCCTGGCAGTCCAGTGGTTAAGACGTCACCTTCCAAAGCAGAGGGTGTGCAGATTCATTCTTATTTGGGGAGGTGAGATCCCACATGCGCCATGACCAAAACACCAAAACAGAAAACAGAAGTGATATTGTAACAAGTTCAATAAAGACTTTAAAGACAGTCCACATCAAAAAAAAATCTTAAAAAGCCTTGAGATTTAATGAGATCTCTAAGGAAAAAGAAGAATTCTAGGAACTGAACCCTAGAATGTTATAACTTTTAGAAAATCAGGCACCTTAGGGGACACCAGTGAGAGAAAACCAAAAAGTATCAGTCAGAAAATTATGGGGGAAACTCCATAAAAGGATGGTGTTCCAGACTATTAGAGTAAGTCTTTAACAAGAAAAAGAGTACCCAATTCTCAGGTGAGGTAAATGAGAATTTTAAAACCATGTTGAACATAGCAGTGTGGAAGTGACATGTGCTTGTGACTTGAACACCCCACCACACCCCAGGTTCAGAGAAGGGGTAGGGGATTTCAGGTCTGAACAGAACAGTTTTAAGACAGAAATGAGAAAGTAGTTGGTAGCTGCAGGACATTGTTTCTGATATAGTAACTAGGATAGCATGACACATTTTAAAAACCATATTTTGAAGAGATTGGAGAACTGTACAAGTAATATAGACAAAATGAAACAGAGGTGGTAGAATATTACCAGTAAGTGAATCTGTCCATTGTAATGGGCAAATGAGGCAAACCCAGGGATGATCAATATATTAGCCTTAGCAGAAGAAAAAAATGGAGGAAAAGACAACATAATTAAGTCCATAGCTAAGCTGATAGATTCTATTTCTCCCAACTTTATTGAGATATAATTGTCAAAAGTTGTATATATACATTTAGGTGATCAACAAAATGATTTGATATACACATATGTTATTAAATGATCACCATAATCAAGTAATTAACATATCCATCATCTCATATGGTTACCATTTTTTTGTATGTGAGGGGGAGAACATGTAAGATCTACTCTTAGCAAAATTTCAAGCTTACAATATAATGTTATTAATGATAGGCACTATGCTGTACATTAGATCCCCAGAATATATTTATCTTATAACTGAAAGCTTGTACACTTTGTCCAACATTTCCCTGTTTCCCCCAAACCACAGCCCCTGGCAACTGCCATTCTACCATCCACTTCTATGAGTCTGACTCTTTTTAGATGCCACATATAACTGATATCATGCAGTGTTTGTTTTTCTCTAACTTATTTCGCTTAGCATAATGCCTTCAAGATCCATTCATTTTGTTACAAATGGCAGAATTTCCCTCTTTCTCATGGCTGAAAAATGTCCCAGTGCGTGTGTGTGTGTGTGTGTGTCCAGTTTCTTTATTCATTCATCAGTTGACAGACACTTAGGTTGATGCCATAATCCTGGCTATTGTCAACAATGCTGCAAAGAACATGGGGCTACAGATACCACTTTGAGGTACTGTAATCATGCTTGTTTCACAACAAAAGAATTGCTCATGGTTAAAGCTCGAGGGTTTGGTGGACTGGTTCCTTGTTCACTTAGACCTTTTTGCTCTTTCTGCCTTTGTTCCTGTTTTCTGAGAAATATATGACTACTGGCCCATAAAACAAATGTACTGATCTGGACAATGTAATGACACAATCAAGTTCCAACATCAAGGCATCTCATGATGAAAAGAGCAGCGTAGCCCCAGCACACAGCCTGCAGCCATTTCCCGCTCCCCTTGTGTAAATCCCAGATAACACCGGGGGCATTGGGAGTTGGTTCTTTCGGACAGTAGTCCACCTCTCCCCAGGTTGCAAACTTCCTTAAAATAAAGCTACTTTTCATTTACCCAGCACTTGTCTCTCAGTAAGGCTTCTTGAGGAACAAGCAACAGAGTCCGAGTTCTGCAACAATATTGATTTCATTTCCTTTGGATGTACACCCCAAACTGAGATTGCGGAATCGAACAATAGTTCTATTTTTGATTTCTTAAGAAAATGCATGCTGTTTTTCATAACAAAATATATGACAAACCTAAACAGCGTTTAGGTTTAAAAAGACCAGACATTACATTGCTGACAAAGGTCTAGTCAAAGCTATGGTTTTTCCTGTAGTCAAGTATGGATGTGAGAGTTGGACCATAAAGAAGGCTGGGTGCCGAAAAACTGATGCTTTTGAACTATGGTGTTAGGGAAGACTCTTGAGAGTCCCTTGGACTGCAAAGGAGATCAAACTAGTCAATCCTGAAGGAAATCAACACTGAATATTCATTGGAAGGACTATTGCTGAAGTGGAAGCTATAATACTTTGGCCACGTGATGCAAAGAGCTGACTTATTAGAGAAGACTGATGCTGAGAAAGACTGCGGGCAAAAGGAGAAGGGGGCAGCACAGGATGATATGGTTAGAGAGCATCAGTGACTCGACGGACATGAACTTGAGCAAACTCCCGCAGGCTGCGGAGGACAGAGGAGCCTGGTGTGCTGCAGTTCAAGGGGTCGCAAAGAGCCAGACACAACATGACTGAGGGGTGACAGCAACAACCTTATCAGATATAAGGTATCCAATAAATGTTTTTTCTCCCATTCTCTAGGCTGCCTCTTTAGTTTGCTGATGATTTCCTTTGCTGTGCAGAAGCTTCTCAGCTTGATACCATCCTGCTTGTTTATTTTTCTTTTTACTATTTACACTCTTGGTGTCATATCCAAAAAAATCATTGCCAAGACAAATGTCAAGGAGTTTCTTCTTCCTTCAGTTTTGTGTACATCTGTCAGGCCTATTTACCGGTTTCATTCGGTGGTGTCATGTTTGCCTGCTTCTTTGTAAACTCAAGTCCGTTTCCTTTGGTTTGCTTTCTCAATACAGCCCTCCTTGAGGACGCCACTGGGGTTTTACAACATCCTACCTGAAACCTGAAGTTTTCAGGTTGGAACTTTTGTCCATGAATGACTGCTAAAAAACTATTTCTATGGGGGGCTGTATCAGAGACTTTGTATTCCACCACCTTGCTGACCCTGAGCAAACCTTTTAAAGCCAGAGTATTCATTAGTAGCTTTTGGAAGAACCAGGATGGACATTTCTTACACGTGGCATGGAGCATCCTTCCTGGCACCCTGAAAATCCACATCTGATGTATATCTCAGTGTTTTCCTCCTGGGCCAGAAAACTCTCAGGGAAAACTCTCAGGGAAAAAAATCTTAGGTCAAAAACCACTGTGCCTAAAATGTTAAAAAAAAAAAAACAACACACACACACACACAACTATGCCAAAGATCTTCCCATGTGCCAAGCTCCCCCATCCTGTCTGCTCCAACTTCAGAATTACAACTTCTGTTTCCATTTTTATATGTTGTAAGCCCTGCCCCCATCACATTTAATCTCTCAGGAGACATAATTTGCTTATACATCCAGAGTGAAATGGGAAGGAGGAAACATTACTGAAAACAGTCATTCACATAATTTATTCTTATTGGACTGAAGGGAATTTGAACCCTAATGCTTTAAGATGGGAAACAAAGAAATATTATTTCCTCATTCTCCCTAGCCATACCTTTCAAGTCATCCTGGTTTATTATGTTACTTGGGCAAGCGCCCTTGACCACACCTCCTGATATTACTCAATATCTGCTTGAGTGAAAGAGACTGAGGCAAATGGAAGGAGGAGCGCCCAGAACCCCCGTCCATCACCCATAAAGAGCCAGCCCAGCCTCACCACTCCTGAGCGAGCGGGAGAGATGAGACCACCACGCCGGCTCCCCCTAATGGGGCTGCTGTTCTTTTCTCTTATTCCAAGTCAACTATGCCAGATCTGTAGTGAGTATGCTTTGAGCTAAAATTGCTCTAAACTTTGAGCATTTTGAGCTAAAAACAGCACGACAGTCTCCTGGAGGCTACTGTGTCATTATCGGAGGAAAGGCCGACTCCATTGTTGGGCGTCGCTGGACTCTCCGTGACTGAAGGGTGGCAGGAGGTGGTGGGGACAGGTCTACGACGCGTGTTGTTCCAAGTGGGCTCAGAGGTTCAGGATTTACGTGTTTCACTCTTCTTCCTAGACTGAGATCCTTTCCCCCACAACAGCCCTGTCAAGGAGCTGTCTTTGCTCGTTCCTTTTTAAGAACAGAAAACTCGTGATCTCAAAAAGTTTTCAGATCATGGAGAGATATCTTGTGACCTTGAGATACAATCTATTTTTAAGAAGTTCAAGCCAGAGGTTTTGGGTTAACTCCTTGTAACTACACAGAAAAAAAAGTAATGTTAATAATGTCTTTCAAATAGTGACGATTGCTCTCTTGTCCTTACTGAGTTTAGATATTCTAAGCGGTACATCTTCCTCTTTTCAACTCTTCCCCAGAGGACATGGGTAAAAACCCATCATCTCTCCTTTGGGTATAGGCTCCAGAGAGTATGTGATTCTATTTTAAAAAATACTGAGAGAAAGAAAAGCTGGTCTCAGGTCTAGTGTGACCCCTTAGTAACTGAATGTACCAATGTCTTTTTAATGTTTATTTATGTGTTTATTTGGCTGTGCTGGGTCTTAGCTGTAGCATGTGGGATCTAGTTCCCTGGCCAGGAATTGAGCCTGGACCCCCTGCTTTGGAAGCACAGAATTTGAACCACTAGACTGACAGGGAAGTCCCATGGATCATTTTAACTTCATCCAGAAATGAAGAATAACCAGAGAAGGTTGTTGAAGCAGGTGATTTGTTAAAGTATTCTATAGCTCACAGGTATGATTTCTCTATTGGAGTTCTTTGCCGTGGAATTGAGCTTCAAACCAGGCCAAAGGTGATGCTACTATGTGGTACCAGCTGCGGCTACATCCCCCTGGTCTCTCTAGCCTACAAGAAGAAATCCACCCCACAGCAGAAAGACGAAAGCTCAGAATCTGCCAGCTCTTAATTCTTTCTCCTGGCCTGTTATCTCCTCAGTTGTGGCGTAAGAACAGGTGTTCTCCATCGAGCTTTGGAAGCTTCATTCGCAGCAGAAAATAATTAACTTTGCTTTTAGTGGGTAAGGAAGTTGACCTCAGTTGTTCCTTTACCAGGAACTAAAGAAGTCTATTTCAGTGCCCAAAAAATCTGCTGAACTGAATCTCAGAGGTGACTCACAATTGTCCAGTTATGCCTGTTAACAAACCATGACCTTTCTCAATCACTCTGTTCAGATCTTCCTGACTCTCTCTATTTAAGGCAGGTGGGCAAGAAAAGTAACATTTCCTGGACTCACTAAGGATAGTGACAGAAACTAGAGTTGAGCTGGAAGTAATAATACATACAGTATCTTATAGTTTATTTGATGGTTTCTTGCCAATTATCTTTGGCTATTTCTTGACTTCTTGAAGTCAAGAAGGTTGCGTAACTTACCCCCAGTTATAAGTTAAAGAATAAAGACCCCAGCAAAGATCTTCCTGAGCCCAAGGTTCACATTCTTTTCACTATTCCCCAAGCCCATGAGATAATCTGGAGATGGGAAGGATTTTCTTAGGTGATGGTCAAGGTATGCTGAGAAATATTTTCAGTGATAGTTAACTCTTCTTATCCCCCAGGTTTATTGGGAGCTCTGGATTCTCTTTTTAATTCCACAGTATAGGAGGACTCCCTCCATCCTTGCCCCTGGGACTTGGACACATTGTAGGCTAAAACTGGAAGGTTTTCATAGGGTCCTCCCTGCTGAATAATGCCTTGATCTTGATGCCTGGCCAGTTGGGCAATCAGACAATGCAGCTCTGGGTCACTGCAGTCAATCACTAATGACATGTAGAACTTCTGCCTTCTCTTCTCTCTCCTTCTTGTCAGCATTAACCCAGGTAAATAAGAAGAAGATGGAGGGGGAAATGACTGAATCCAGAAAGCAGACTGGGTTATAGGCGGGGACTTGGAAGATGTGCACTGCAGTCTCAGTCAGAGGTCCAATTACCAAGGCCCCGTAAGGGCCCCCTCTGGGCCTTAGCAGCTAACACACGCACACACACACACATGCACGCACACACGCACGCACACACGCACACGTGCGCACACATGCCCGCACACATGCCCGCACACATGCGCGCACACATGCACGCACACGCATGCACGCACACACACATGCGCGCGCACACGCACACACACGTGCGCGCGCGCGCGAGCTGCCAGGCAGGACACAATGGTAAGGCTGAACCAGTTGTTTAAATATTTAACACTTCCATGCTGGTTGGCAAAAAAATAATACATGGCAGAGTGGGGCTCCAGACCTCCCTTGCATCATTCCAGCAACATTGCCAGTGGCTACCAAGTGGGTCTGTGTCTATGCCATATATGTTACTAAATATTTTAATATCATTCCTGTTCTTAGCCCTAATATTCTATGTGTGTGCCTCTTATTTCCTCTCTCCCTTCCACAGAGGTAAATGCAACAGACTTCAGGAGGCTAGAACCTCTGATAAACACGATGCTAAAGGCAAACTACACCAAAGGGATCCAAGATGCCAACGTCCTGTTGACCCTCAGACTTGTTGGGATTAAGAATCAAAGCCTAGAACAACAGCTGAGTCAACAAATCAAAGAAGACATAAATAGCAGAGGTGAGTGCCTATATTCCCCGGAATATTTAGAGAAAGACTTGCCCATCTATAAAGATCATCTCCAGTGAGTCCTAAAAATTGTGTGTCCAAGTCATCCCTGGTACATCCATCTTAGCTGTAGAAAACTTGAGATGAACAGGAGTAGAAATAAAATATTGTACACGTGAAACTTATATAATGTTATAAATGTTACCTAAATTTGTTTTTAAATCTAGTCCAAGTATGTAGTGGGGTTTTTTTAAAAATAAAGTTTACATAAAATTTTTTAAAATTGAGGTGACAAAAAGGTACCTCAAATCCTCAACCCCCTGCCGCTTACTGTAGAGTGAAGCTTTCCTTCTTTGGGCCCTGAAAATAGGAAAAGCAAAAGAAATCGTACACTCTCATCCATTGAGATTTACATCATTAAGTTGAGCTCATGACCAGACAAGAGCATGGGCCACAACCACGAACGAAAGCTGACAGCAGAGAGGTGACCATAGAGTTGTGGAGATATGGACTGGAATTGAGACCAGATTCCACACTGAAACTTTCATTTCAACACTGAGCTTTCTAACGAGTATAAGAGGAAAATATAGCCACTGCTACCTACCCAACAATATTATTGTGAGGATAGGAGGAGCCTAAGAACTTGGATATTTTAAATACAAGTCGATTATTCCTATCCTGGCGAGAAGGCACCCTCAAGGAGGAAGATCCCAAGGCTTTATTATTTATCTATTTCTATTCTTTGTTCAAGGATTTCTTGATTCCAGAAAGAGCCAGCAATTTCATGGGAAAGACTAAGATCGAGGTTGCATTTATACAGTACTGCTAGAAAAGGCTCTGTTTGGGGGGGATAAAGAAGAGGACAATAAAACATTAATAAAGAGTAGAACAGGACAAAAAAGTGACAGCAATATAAATCACAAGAAAGACAGGAAGCCAAAAAAATCATAAGCATGTGCCTTGTTTAACTTGAATACTTTTCTTTTCAGAGATGGAGTTAACCTCGGGACAGCTTGCCTTGGGTATTCTGGCTTTGGGAGCATGTGAAAATCCAGATGAAGAGTTTATACGTGGTGCTCATCTGGTTAGCAAACTTGGAGACAAATTCCAAGCAGAAATTCAGAATATGGGTGAGAATCACATGCTCAGAGACCCTGATGTCTTTGTCTCCTCCGCTGATTCAGAACTGGATGAAGCTTCTACCTACTCATTCCTTCTCTTCTTCACTCCACTCATCCCATGTGCACCTGTGAAGATCTTCCCTTTTTACCTCCCCCTGTTCCTTTGAAGACCACTTTCCCTTCCTTCTTCCAGATGTGTCTTGAGTTTTCTTTTCCAATATCTTCAGTTAAGCATTGACCCTACGTCAAGCTTACCTTACACTGGATGATAAATACACACACCCACATGCAAACACACAGGTCACAGTTCTCTAGTCCTTCAGAAGCTTGGCTTTTGGGCAAATTACACCAGAAATAGCTAATCAAGATGAGACATTCTGTCATAAGTACCAAAGTGTATACTTAATGATTCTAGTACAAGAACAAAGATGGCAAAAGTACTGAAAAATAAGTTGATCATCACAGCTACTAGTGAGATACATTTCTGGGTTCTAGTTCTAGCTCCGTAACCATCTGAACATCAAGATAGTATGTTTTTAATTTTTATTGGAAGGTGTTTGATTTATAATATTGTATTAGTTTCAGGTGTATAGCAAAGTGAATCTGTTATACAGTAATAGCTGTCTGCCCACTCTTTTTTCAGATTCTTTTCATATATAGGCCATTACAGAGCGTTGAGTAGGCTTTCCCGTACTATACAGCAGCTTCATGTTAGTTATCTATTTTATATACAGTAGCGTGGATATGGGCTTCCCTGGTAGCTCATATGTACAGAATCTGCCTGCAATGCAGGAGACTGGGCTTAATCTTGGAGAAGGAAATGGCAACCTGCGCCAGTATTCTTGCCTAGGAAATCCCAAGGACAGCGGAGCCTGGAGGGCTACGGTCCAGGGGGTCATGAGGAGTCAGACACGACTGAGCAGCTGGGCACACACCGTGTGCCAGGCCTGGGTGCAGTCTTGCTGCTGCCGCTCCAGTGTGCTTGCCTGCAGAATTCCATGGACAGAGGCTACAGTCCCTGGGGTTGCAAGGAGTTGGACATGACTGTCCGTGTCAACCCCAGTCTCCAGTTTACCCCTCCCCACCGCCTCACCCCGTGGTATAGCCATAGGTTTGTTTTCTACGTCTACGACTCTACTTCTGCTCTGTAAGTAAGTTCATTTGTACCTTTTCCTCAGATGCCATGTATAAGTGATGTAATATGCTGTTTGTCTCTCTGTGTCTGACTTAACTCAGTATGATAATCTCTAGGTCCATCCATGTGGTTGCAAATGGCATTATTCTGTTCTTTTGATGGCTTAGTAATACTCCATTGTATATATGTACCACATCTTCTTTATGCATTGCTCTGTTAGCTTGCTTCTATGTCCTTGCTATTGTAAATAGTGCTGCAATGAACATTGGGTGCACATATCTTTTTGAATTAGTGTTTTCTCAGGATACATGCCCAGGATTGGGATTGCTGGGAGAACAGTATTTTTATCTCTTTCATGCTGAATTGCCTCAGGCATAAAATAAAAGGAGTTGAGTTGAATTTGGTGGCCCTGGAAAGTGAAAGCGTTAGTTGTTCAGGCATGTCTGACTCTGAGACCCCATGGACTGTAGCCCGCCAGGCTCCTCGTCCATGGGATTCTCCAGGCAAGAATACTGCAGTGGGCAACTGTTCCCTTCTCCAGGGGATCTTCCTGACCCAGGGATCGAACCTGTGTCTCTTGCATTGCAGGCAGATTCTGCACTGTCTAAGCCACCAGGGGAGCCCTTGGTGGACCTTAAAAGCCCTTAAATGTCTCAAGTTCGCTGTTTCTCTGAGCAATCTCTCCCGTTTCTCATTCATCTCTCTTTAAATGTAAAGAAATGGAGATAGAGTAAGTAGAAATAAGCTCAAAATGCACCATTCCAGTACCACCTGTGTGAATAAGGTATTCCTTTGCTCCCCGACAGAAACACATGATGGCAATCCACTGACTAACTATTACCAGCTCAGTCTGGCCCTCTTGGCCTTGTGTCTGTTCAATGGGAGCTATTCAATCACCGATGTTATTTATTACTTCACTCCTGAAAATAAGAACTATTATTTTGAGGACCAGTTCTCAGTAGGTAAGTCATTAAACCCAATTCCCTTGGTTTCAAGGACATGGGCACCAGGAGGCTTTGTCTTTTATATTTTTCTACCAATAAGTACTTGAATTTTTTCTTTCCTCACTACCCTAGTCTTCTCAGAAGAGAATTCTTTTTTTTTTTAGAAGAGCGGATATTGGATGGTTCTTAAGCCTCTTTCTAGGTGTGCAGTACAGTGAAAGGACCCAGTTCCTTCTCCCCCTTTTCTCTGAGTAGCCAATGGATGTTAGCTCTCAACTTTAATTTTCCCACTTGTAAAATGAGGCTAGATCATGAGGATCAATAAGGCATCTTAGGAAGCATAAATGTTAGAGAAAGGGGGTGTGGTGGAATTCACTTATCTCAACCCTGCATCATTCTCTAACCCATTGGGATCATTTGGATGCATGGGCTTACTTGAACAATACAATCTCTCCAGTGGTAAGATGCAATATTTTGATCAATAAAGTGTGTATCCACCATGGAAAAGGACCAGAAATTTCCCACTGGATCAGCTTACACATCCAAAAAGAAGTCCCCTTTAGACAGATCCACAAACTCATTTTTCCCCAAGAAGCTCTAAGAAAGCCACCATTCAGTGTCTCAGAGTAACAAGGAGAATGTGAATTTCTTATATTTCTCTTCCTATGAGAGGGACAGCACCAGGCCTAAAGAAAACAGAAGGAACCAAGAAATGAGCCAGAAAAACAGATCTTATCCCATTCTTCTAATCTCTTGCCATATCCTCCCCATTAAGGGTGTTTACTGAATAAACAGTTCTCCTAAGTGCTATTTTCAAGTCAGTCTAATGAAAAACTTGGAAATTTAGAGACATTTTTGTTTGGTATGTCATCCTCGGTTTTCTCAATTTCTTTGCCAACGTGGCTGAAAGATGAAAAAGATGAGAACAACCACAATGTAAAGGCAGACTGTGCGTTTGTGCCGACAAATGGATGAGTGTTTCTATGACTAAGATGTGAGTCCCTGAGTGCAAGGCTCGTGGTATCCACACAAGGAAGGAATCTTGACATACGTGAGAGGTCAGGGCGAGAGGATGGCTACTGTATCTGGAAATTCTTCTCTTGCATCATTAACTAGCATGACCAAGCATCCCATTCTGCCCAGAGTCCTCCTACTGTTAGTTTTGAAAGTCCCACATGCCAGGAAACCACTTAGCCCAGGGTGAACCCAGGAGGATTAGTCACTCGGTCACCAGCGTTTTGCTTCCTGACAGATACTGGAGCGGTGGCCATTCTTGCTCTAACCTGTGTGCAGAGGAATAAAACACAAAAGAAAATGGAAGCAAGTACAGAGGATAAAATCAAGAATTATGCAGCAACACTGGCACACAAGATCCAGTCTGAGGGAAAACAGGGTCTCTTCGGAAACATATTTAGCACGGGAGAAGCTATGCAGGTGAGTCAGAAGGCAAAACAGGAGACAGAGAACCGGGTCATGGCAGAAAGCAGCACCTTCCTCCTTCCCTCTTGTTCTCCTGAGGACTTAACTATCCACCTGACTTTGTTTTAATCATGTGATGTCCCTCCCCTGCCTGAAATGTACCCCCTCTCTGTCACTCTCCACATCCAATGTCTCTATACAGCTTTTCCTGACTACATTAAGAAATGCTAGTGCCTACTGCAAACTATTTTGTTTTTCTTTAACATGTCATTTCCCACTTTACCACATACCATTGTTCAGTGTTTCATCTTACCTCCCAAATTAGGTTATTGTTATGGAAATAAGAAGTAGTTAGTAGTGGCAGTAACAGCAGCTGATAATTATTGACATTGTCACTAATGCACAACCACCCAATGGAGAAAGAATTTTTACCTCCATTTCCTAGAATAAGAGCATGAATCACAGAGTACCAGTAAATTGCCTAACAGAACAAAGCCAAAGGGTGATGGAGAGGTGATAGGACCAAAATAATTGGTGTCAAAACTCATACTCAATGCTTACACTGTCCTGTATATGTTCTTTGAAGACCAAGTTCCTGAGTTTAGTCACTGATCAGCTCAACTCTAAGGGGTACATACAAGAAGAGATGAGGAAAAGCATATAGGTGGAAAAAAGGATTTCACCAAGTCTTTGGTATGAATTGGGGCCTGCCAGGCTGACCCGGGATGAGAGGACTTTCATAGGGAGAGCAGAAGCAAGGAAAAAAGTGCAGAGGCACCTTCCGTAATTGAGGAAGATCAGAGCGTGCAGCCCAGCCAGCACAGGGCTCCTGCAAAGAACGGCAAGATGAGGGTGATGATGTAAGTCAGGATCCAGTCTTAAAGACTGTCCATGTTGTTGTTCCTCTTTACACTTGCTATGCTAGAAATTAATATAAAGCAGTGGTTTCCTGTTCGGGTGCACATCTGATTTCCCTAGAGGAGAGGAGCTTTCAGGAAATGCTCATGTTTACACCCCATATCAATCAGTTAATACACAAGTTCAGGTGTGGAGCCTGGGCTTGGTCTTGATCAGCCTATAGGTGGTATTCATTCATGGCAGGATCAAGAGCTGCTTACCCACTACATTGTTTATAAAAGAAGATATAATGTGATGAGTTTTTTCAGGATGACCTTTTTAATTTTTATTTATTTTTTGGTCATGTCCCAAAGCATGTGGGATCTTAATTCCCAGACCAGGGATCAAACCTGTGCCCCATGCATTGAGAGCATGGAGTTTCAACCACTCCACCCCATGGAGTTTTAATCCCTGGGCCACCAAAGAAGTCCCTTATGAATTTTCTTTCTGTGTTGTTTTTAATAACTCACACACACACACAAAAAAAAAACCCTCATTGACCACTTGGTTATCTTTAAGAGTCTTCAAGAAAAGATGTAAAGGGGAACTGTCCTTCCTCGAGAAACTCCAGAACAATATCTTCAAGCTCAGTCCATCTTAGTCCCTGTCTTACTCTTGTTGTTGTTGTTGTTTAGTCATTGAATCCTGTCCAACTCTTTTTGGACCCCATGGACTGTAGCCCCCAGGCTCCTCCGTCCATGGGATTTCCCAGGAAATTAATTAACACCCTCTTAAATTTTCCTGCCCTGTGATTCTGCCCCTTGAGTCCACTTTACATCTGCTGCCTGGAGGGTTTCTGTTCAAGAACCTCTTAGACTGCCCGCTGTCCAGCAACCACCCCATGGCACTCAGGGTCGGCCGGCCCAGCTCCAGCCCTTGTCTCCAGGCTGTCCTCCTGCGGTGCTTTGCATGTGCTCTCGACACCAGTCCTCTGAAGCCAAGAGGAATCCTCTGGGGAGCTTCCTGAAACTCAGACACTGTCACCACAAACAGGCCAGGCCCTGGCCATTCCTATGCCCTTCAGCCACCTGTTCACCTCCGCATGTCACCTACTGAGACGCCACCACAGCGCCGAGCCCTGTTCACGTATCGCCTTCCCTGTCAAGCCTTCCTCCGTCTCGCTAATGTTTAGGAGCGCTTCCCCTTCAGAAGGACCATGCCACTGGGCGCTTCTCTTAGCTTGCGCTGTGCTTAGTCGCTCGGTCGTGTCTGACTCTGCAACCCCATGGGCTGTAGCCCGCCAGGCTCCTCTGTCCACGGAATTCTCCAGGCCAGAATGCTGGAGTGGGTTGCCATTCCCTCCTCCAGGGGATCTTCCCAACCCAGGGATCAAACCCAGGTCTCCCGCATGGCAGGCAGATTCTTTACCAGCTGAGCCACAAGGGAAGCCCAAGAATGCTGGAGTGGGTTGCCTATCCCTTCCCCAGGAATGGAACCAGGGTCTCCTGCATTGCAGGCAGATTCTTTACCAGCTGAGCCACAAGGGAAGCCCAAGAATACTGGAGTGGGTTGCCTATCCCTTCCCCAGGAATGAAACCAGGGTCTCCTGCATTGCAGGCAGATTCTTTACCAGCTGAGCTACCAGGGAAGCCCTTCTCTTAGGGCAGAGGTCCTCAACCTTTTTGGCACCAGGGCCCAGTTTCATGGAAGACAATTCCATTTTTCCATGGAAGGGGGTGGGGGGACGTCTCAGACAGTTATGCAGGCAGAGGTTCAGGAGGCAAGGTGGGCGATGGGGAGGGGTAAGGGAAGCTTCCCTGATTTGCCTGCTGCTCACCCCCTGCTGTGCGGTCCCCAGGGTGGGGGTGGGGGTTGGAGACACCAGTCTTAGGGCCTTTATCTTAGGGACTCCTTTACAAGAATCTGTTAACACTATCTGACAGTATTTCATACGGTTAACACTATCTCATAGTTAACACTATCTCATATGGTTTCAGTGTCAGCAATAAAGAGTAAATACGGTAAAGACTGTTCTCATTGACACTATGAAAGTTTGAGTGATTAAACAATCCCCACCTCCCCACCCAAACTAGCTCATAAGCTTCTTGAAAGGTAACTTAGCAGTCTAAGGTGGTTCCCATGTAGTCAATGTCCAAAATAGATTTACTAAATTAGATTCAAGCTTTCCCACGATGTGAAGTCTCTCCCATTCATTCTCATTCTCTCTCCTTCTCTCTCTTTCTCTCTCTCTTACACACACTAGGCTCTCTTTGTCTCATCGGACTATTACAAAAGTGAAACAAATTGTCAAGAAACTCTACGCACAGTATTCTACAACATTTCTCAGAAAGCATTTTCCCTGCCGATTGCTGCAGCCCAGATCTTACCTGCCTTGATGGGAAAGACCTATTTGGATGTCACCAACTCTTCTTGCAGCCACAATCCAGGTATAGCACTAATGAGCAGACTGTTCTGCCTTTCAGCATAACACCCAAAGTGTGTAAGACTGACACGTCCTCAGGAGCCAAAAGGGACCAGTTAAACCTCTGAAGTATAACAGTTCCCAGACAGATCCCAGACAGAACTCCATCCTCCATGTCATCAGGGACCATAACTGCCAGAGGATTTGTCCTTATCAAGGTAGTAGACACTCTTCTTGGTTCAAACACTGACAACAAGGTAGCGTTGATTGAAGGATAAGCGTGCTTGTTGAGTCGTGTCCCACTCTTTGGGACCCCCCTGGACTATAGCCCACCAGGCTCCTCTGTTTATGTGATTTCCCAGGCAAGAACGCTGGAGTGAGTTGCTGTTTCCTGCTCCAGGGGATCTTCCCTGGCCAGGGATTAAACCAGCCTCTCTCGTGTCTCCTGCATTGGCAGGCGGATTCTTTGCCATGAAGCCAGCTGGGAAGTGACTAAAGGGTGTCAGTCTCTCAAGGGGTGCTTTCTGATTTCTGGATACAGAGAGATTTTCTGAGCATCATTCCCAACCTAAAAAGTATAACGTCTCTGGCTTCTCATTAGGCTTTTTTTTTTTTCTTTTTTCTTTTATTTTTTTTTTATTTTATTTTATTTTTTTATTTATTTTATTTTATTTTTTTACTTTTTTTTATTTTATCATTTTATTTTTTATTTATTTTTTTTCCATTTATTTTTATTAGTTGGAGGCTAATTACTTTACATCATTGCAGTGATTTTTGTCATACATTGAAATGAATTAGCCACGGATTTACATGTATTCCCCATCCCGGTCCCCCCTCCCACCTCCCTCTCCACCCGATCCCTCTGGGTCTTCCCAGTGCACCAGGCCCGAGCACTTGTCTCATGCACCCAACCTGGGCTAGTGATCTGTTTCACCCTAGATAATATACATGTTTCGATGCTGTTCTCTTGAAACATCCCACCCTCGCCTTCTCCCAGAGTCCACAAGTCTGTTCTATACATCTGAGTCTCTTTTTCTGTTTTGCATATAGGGTTATCGTTAACATCTTTCTAAATTCCATATATATGTGTTAGTATACTGTAATGGTCTTTATCTTTCTGGCTTACTTCGCTCTGTATAATGGGCTCCAGTTTCATCCATCTCATTAGAACTGATTCAAATGAATTCTTTTTAATGGCTGAGTAATATTCCATGGTGTATATGTACCACAGCTTCCTCATCCATTCGTCTGCTGATGAGCCTCTAGGTTGCTTCCATGTCCTGGCTATTATAAACAGTGCTGCGATGAACATTGGGGTGCACGTCTCTCTTTCAGATCTGGTTTCCTCGGTGTGTATGCCCAGAAGTGGGATTGCTGGGTCATATGGCAGTTCTATTTCCAGCTTTTTAAGAAATCTCCACACTGTTTTCCATAGTGGCTGTACTAATTTGCATTCCCACCAACAGTGTAAGAGGGTTCCCTTTTCTCCACACCCTCTCCAGCATGTATTGCTTGTAGACTTTTGGATAGCAGCCATCCTGACTGGCGTATAATGGTACCTCATTGTGGTTTTGATTTGCATTTCTCTGATAATCTCATTAGGCTTGATGCGTGTGCACCCAGAGACGTGCCGTTAATGGGGAAAGAATGTGGCAGTGTTATAAGAAAATTACAGCTTGAACCATTAATCAAACCACTGATTTTGCAACAAGGTATAAAGAAAGGAGACTTTTCCTTCTGTCTTGGTCATTTCTGGTTCAGCCACATATAGGTTTACGGAGCTTGGACAAAACCTTAAGCTTAAAAGTTTTCTACTATAAGAAATGCAAATGATAATAGTGTGTATCAGGCATTAGTAAGGATTGAAGAAGATAATTCATGCAAGATGATCAGCACACAGTGCCCACACGTAATGTTCTCTATAAATGTTAATAAATAAAAAGGCAGGGGGTTGGGAAAAATATGGGAAGGATGCTAAGAGACACAAACTTCCTGTCATAAAATAAATACTTCATGGCAGTATAGTGTACAGTATAGAAGATACAGTCAATAACACTGCAGTAACTTTGTACGGTGACGGGTGGTTACTAGAGTCACAGTGCCGATCACCTCCTCATGTATATAAATGTTGAATCATGTTTTACATGTGAAACTGACGTGATGCTGTGTGTCAACACTTAAATAAAAAATGAAAAGGCCCAGGGGCTTCCCTGCTGGCTCAGTCATACGGGATCCACCTGCCCGTGCGGGAGACACGGGCTCAACCCCTGACCGGGGACGACCCCGCGTGCTGAGGCGCGCCTCGGCACCTGAGCCTGCGCTCTCGAGCCTGGGAGCCGCAACCCCTTGAGGCCGGGTGCCCTGGAGCCCGTGTCCGCAACCAGAGAGGCCACAGCAAGGAGAACCAGGGCGTTCCCACCTCACTAGAGGCAGCCACCCCACTCACCGCATCGAGAGCAAGGCCCACAGAGTAGGAAAGACCCAGCACAGCCAAAGCTAAACACACAAATAAATGACTTATTTTTTAAAATCACAGAAAGGAAAAAAATAAAAAAGCACACAAAAAAAGAAAAGAAAAGGGCGGGGGGGGGGTGCCATTATTGTATGCTGCACATACAGCATAATGCAATGCAAAACAAAAAAGAAAAGTCAGGAGCCTCTGTGAGAAATGGGAAATGGGGCAACTGATTTGCTGCAAGAGCTGGAAGTTGAGGCAAACACAAGCCTTCACAAGCTGCTGAGTATCTGGTTTTAATTCGTGCTTTAGTTGTCTGAGAGATACCACCCCCACCCCCCACCTCTGATTGCTGACCCGGGATCCTGGTGTAAACCCTCTTCCACATTAATGGGGAAAGAGTTGTTGCATAGGGTGGAGAGGTGTGCAGACTCTGACATTGTTTTTATTCTTCTGAATAATAATTCTCCTCTACTTTTCTGTCTCTGCCAGTCAAATTCAACATCTCCACTGAAAAGCCTGGTGCTGTGATGCCTACGACGGCACCCTTGAATATCTCAGTCAAATACTCTGTGCGAATCAACGAGACAAGTCACACCAAAGTCACCGTGAGAAAGGGTTCTGTCTTCCTCGACGTCATGAAGGCCGCTCAGGAGAAAAATGAGACTCTGTTTCGGTACGTCTGTGCAGTCCATGAATTCTCCAGGCCAGAATCCTGGCATGGGAAGCCTTTTCCTTCTCCAGGGGATCTTCCCAAGCCAGGAATCGAACCAGGGTCTCCTGAGTTGCAGGCAGGTTCTTTACCACCTGAGCTATGAGGGAAGCCCAAGAGATAACCTAACATTAAGGAACTTAATGTGATCATGACTCAGCAGGAACCCATCCGCACCAGAGTACAATGTACAGTTAAAACACTTCGCACTCAGTAGCTTCGCTGTGCATCCTCACAGCACAGCAGGGGCTTAAAAAAGGGAGGTGAAACATTTCCTCTTCCAGCACATAGCAGATATTAATAGATAGATAAATAAGCACCAGGGATCGCTCTTCTGTCAGTACAGCTCCTTCAATTAACAGAATCCAAGTCAGACATTTTGTGTCTAGAATAGTGGTTCTTAACTGTTTTTTAACCACTGACCCCTTTGAAAGTCAGATGAGTGGGATTCTCCTCCCAGAAAATGAACAAATGCATAAAATGTGTCATTTGTCATTTTTCATTTTGTATTGGAATGTGGTTGATTAACGATGATGTGATAGTTACAGGTACACAGCAAAATATACCCGTAAGAGTCTCTACTTTTTTCAGATTCTTTCCCCATTCAGGCTGTTACAGACTGTAGGGCAGAGTTCCCTCCGCCGTCCAGCAGGGCCCTGCTGGTTGTCTGGCTCACACGCAGCAGTGTGTGCGTCTCAATCCCAAGCTCCCAGCCTATGCTGCCCCCCTCCTCCGCCACCCTTTCCCCCTGGTAACCACGAGTTCGTCCTCTAAATCTGAGTGCAAGATTTGTCACTTGAATCTGAGGTTTCACAGACCCTGGGAAGCTTCTCCAGGCCACCTCCACCTTACAGGATATTCAGGGACTCCTCAGTTAAGGCTCCCTGGCCTAGAGAGGTCAAATATTAAATTGAAGATATTGACTTTGCCTCTGAAAAATACAGCTTAAATGGCTCCTTAAGCCTAACTGGCATTTATCGTGTCTAATAACATGCTCTAAGATGCAACAGAGAAAATCATATACAAGAAAATATGTATCTGTGTGTACATATATAAAGCCTGTTTTCAAGTGTTCCCAGGAAGGTAGAAAAATCTGACTAAAGAATATGAAACAAATACCAATTATGTCACTTCTTAATAAGTAAACATGAGCTATTAAATTATCCTTTCCTTTTTCCCGAGTACCTTTAGGACAACTAGTTAACACTTTCTTGTACTGTTTAACATCTTCAACTGTTACTGTCTTGGGTAGAAGATTAAGAACTGTTGATGGCAAAGTGTCTACTATGGCAGGAGAGAGGGGCAGAAACCACGGGCAGTGTTTCTATAATTTGCATGGGTTGTAGACTGCCTGCCTCAGAATGACCTAGAATGTTGATAAAACATGCAGATTCCTGGTTCTGGCCCAGATCTCCAGAATCAAGGTATCTGGGAAGAAGGCCAGGAGGTCTGTGTAATATCTTCCAGTGACTCTTAGGTGCACAAAAGAAGTGCCCATGGGAGGGTTGCCTTTGGACATCCTGAATCCGTGTACCAATTCACTGTTCCCCACAGCTTCACAGTGGAGGAGACCTCGTGGGGCCCCTATGTCACCTCTGTCCAGGGCATAAAGGCCAACACTTGTGACAGAACCTACTGGAAACTTCTGAGCAATGGCCAGCCACTGAGCCAAGGTAAGGCGGAGGACGAGAACAGCCCTGCAGAGCGAGGCACCCGAAGCGCTCACGTGTGTGTGTGTGAGCTTCGGTGGGGACACGCCAAGGTTGTGAGCGTGTGCCCAGCCTCGCAGCCGTGTCTGCCTCTCTGTGACCCCGTGGGCTGTAGTCTGCCAGGCTCCTCTGTCCGTGGGATTTCCCAGGCAAGAACACGTGGTGGAGGGGGTTGCCGTTTCCTTCTCCGAGGATCTGGGAGTGCCAGATCCCTTATTTGATGATTTGGTGATCAAATCATTGGACCCACGTCTCCTTCTTCCTTTTCAGGAGTTGGGAGTCATGTTGTCCAAAATGGAGACAATTTGGAGGTTCGTTGGAGCAAATATTAATAAATTCAAACCTCCCTCAGCTGGGTCTGAGCCTTCTGTGGTACAGTTCTATGTGGAAATTGATCTTACACATTCCTTTTTGTTTATATCTCAGTCCTCACAGCACATCAATAACCTCTACTTCTCTCTTTGAGTGTCCAATAAAAGACCAACAGCTACACAAAAAGAGCATGTTCTAATCATTTAATATCAAAGGGAATTACTATTAGAGGGAAGACTACCTCAGGAAGAAGCAAAATGAGAAAGATTAGACCCACCTGTCTAAGAAGTTGAGTTCTGCTCACGGTTCCCCTGGTAACTTTCTGGGTGACCTTAGGCAACTGAGGGAAATGGAGAGAAGGTTCTGAGTCAGACAGCGCAGCGGCAACCAGTGAAATCAGGAGGCGTCTCATGGGAGACTGAGCTCTCTGAGACCCGGGGGCAAGGGAGGAACTGAGGAGACACATTGGCCTCACACAGGCAGCCACTGGGTAGAGAGAAAAATACTGCCCTAGACAAAGTAAAATGTGAGGCCTATCCATAAAAGTCAGAGCACAAGGTTTGAGGAACCACTTCATCCCCATCTCCAGCAGCCTTCCCTAGGTCCCACTTCTCTTATTTCACCATGAAAATTTTATTTCTTATTTTTCTCTTATTTCACCATGAAAATCACTCTCATAGTCACATCACCAAATCCACATGCAAAAAAAGAAATGACTCCAACGTTCAGTTCAGCAGAACTCACCTAAAAAAAAAAGCTGAATCGTGTCTAAACCTGAACTGGGTTACACCATATACTGAGTGTCTGAGCTGTGGGCACAGTTAAGAACCAGAGATGCCTTTAAGATGCCAAAGGTGCTTCAGATGAAGCACAAAGCAGCCCATTTAAAGTCACCAGCACGGGACTCCCCCGGTGGTCCGAGGCTGAGGCGTCACCTCCCAGGGCCGCGGCGCAGACTCGGTCTCTGGGTGGGGAGCTAAGGCCGTCCGTGTCTCATCCACAACGGGAAAACAGAAGCAGCATTTTAACAGGTCTAGTAAAGACCTCACAAATGGTCCACATTAAGGAAAAAATCTTTAAAAAACATGATAGTAGTCTCCAAAAGGAAGAGGCCTGCAGGTCGAATTTGTGGACTTATTTCAGCAACATCTCCCTCATTTCTCCTTGTGTTTTCAAGATTCTCTTCTTTCCTCCCCTGACCAGCAGCCCTGCTTTACAATCAGGGGCTGAGCACTCCTCCTGCTCACTGCTTCGGGCACTGATCATCGACTCTCAGATCCACCCCTGCCCTGGTCTTCATGAACCGGTGTGAACGCAGTCTTCTCAGCTGCAGAGCGATGGATTCTATCCTCTGGGGTCTGCGCCACATCCTGAGAACTCAGTTGAGGCAGAGGACTTCCATGGTGCTCTGAGCACAGGGTGCCAGCTGTCAGATATATTTATAGACTATACAATCTACATGAAATTGGAGAATAATGGCTTAAGATTCTTGTTGTTGTTCAGTGACTCAGTCGTGTATGAGTCTCTGCGACCCCATGGACTGCAGCACACCAGGCCTCCCTGTCCATCACTCTCTCCTGGAGCTTGCTCAAACTCATGTCCATCGAGTCGGTGATGCCATCCAACCATCTCTCATCCTCTGTCGTCCCCTTCTCCTCCTGCCCTCAATCTTTCCCAGCATCAGGGTCTTTTCTGTTCAAAATCTCAGAACTGGCCATTATTGTCCATCATAGTGGGACCATACAGTTTATCATCCAACCACAACTCTGTTAAAAGTGAAAGTGAGTACTATTAATTACACTCAGAAAAACAACAGGTTAAAAACAGGGACTATCCTGGGGAAACCAGTACAATGTTGTCCATAAGAAAGCTCAAGTAAAAAATACAAACACATATATGTCAAAATGACAGAAAATACTGCCCCTGAACTTAACCAATGAGACTTAATCTCAATATAAAAAGCTGGAATAGTTCTCTCCAAGATCCCTAACTCTCTCTCAATAATTCTCACTCATTTTCTTTTCTTTTTTTTTGGCTGTGTCATGAGCCTGTGGCATCTTAGTCCCCAGACCAGGGATTGAACCTGTGCCCCCTGAAGTGGAAGCACAGAGTCTTTAGCACTGGATCACCAGGGAAGTTCCATCTAGCTTATTTTCAATAATATTCAGTCAGTGACAGTGAAGTTCAGATCAGTTCAGTCGCTCAGTCATGTCTGACTCTTTGTGACCCCATGAACCGCAGCACACCAGGCCTCCCTGTCCCTCACCAACTCCTGGAGTTTACTCAAACTCATGTCCATTGAGTCAGTGATGCCATCCCACCATCTCATCCTCTGTCGTCCCCTTCTCCTCCCACCTTCAATCTTTCCCAGCATCAGGGTCTTTGCCAATGAGTCAGCTCTTCGGATCATGTGGTCAAAGGATTGAAGCTTCAGCTTCAGCATCAGTCCTTCCAATGAACACCCAGGACTGATCTCCTTTAGGATGAACTGGTTGGATCTCTTTGCAGGCCAAGGGATTCTCAAGAGTCTTCTCCAGCACCACAGTTCAAAAGCATCCATTCTTCAGCACTCAGCTTTCTTTATAGTCCAACTCTCACATCCATACATGACTACTGCAAAAACCATAGCCTTGACTAGACGGACCTTTGTTGACAAAGTAATGTCTCTGCTTTTTAATATGCTGTCTAGGTTGGTCATCACTTTTCTTCCAAGGAACAAGCATCTTTTAATTTCATGGCTGTAATCACCATCTGCAGTGATTTTGGAGCCCAGAAAAATATAGTCAGCCACTGTTTCCTCATCTATTTGCCAAGAAGTGATGGGACTGGATGCCATGATCTTAGTTTTCTGAATGTTGAGCTTTAAGACAACTTTTTCACTCTCCCCTTTCACTTTCATCACTGCCCACCAAATACTGTGTATTAGTTACATATTGCTGTGTAACAAGTTGCCCTAAAACTTAATGGCTTAAAACAACAACACGTCATCTCACAGTTTCTCTGGGTGAGGAATGGAGGGACAGGTGGCCTGGGTCCTCTGGCTCCAGTCTTTCATGAACCTGCAAGCAAGATGTCAGCTGGAGAGACTTCCCTTGAGGCCAGTGGCTGGGTCTCCGAGCTTCCACTGCAGGGGCCATGGTTTTGGTACCTGATTAGAGAACTGGCATTTAGCATGCTGTGCGGCAGAAGGAAAAAAAAAAACCTCAAACTGAATAAAAATGAAAAAACAACAAATCAACTTTAAAAAATAAATTAAAAAAAAAAAGATGTTGGCTAGGGCTGCCTTCATCTCGAAACTCAACTGGGGAAGGAGCTGCTTTCAAGCTCCATCATGTGACTGTGGCGGGATTCCTCCCTGCCTGGCTGTGGGCTGGAAGATGCTCTCAGCTCTTCCCCACACAGGCTCTTCCATAAGGAAGCTCACAACACAGCAGCTGCTCCATCAGAGCAAGAAGCAAGAAGAGCCAGGGACTGCAAGCCAGACGGAGCTGCCCTTCTACAACCTCATTCCATCGCTTTTCCTGTATTATGATTATTAGAAGCAAGGTCAACTCATATGCTAAAGAAGTTCAGTTCAGTCGCTCAGTCATGTCTGGCTCTCTGTGACCCATGGACTGCAGCATGCCAGGCCTCCCTGTCCATCACCAACTCCCAGAGTTCACCCAAACTCATGTCCATTGAGTCGGTGATGCCATCCAACGATCTCAAGAGGACTGATTATATAAGGGCATGAACACCAGGAGGTGGAAACATAAGATGATGTTAGACGTGTATCACACCCTATTATGTATCCTGTGTTCTCACCCACACCACCACTGACATTCTCCAAGAAAGAACAAAAAGGCTTTATCACCTATGCTATATATTTGTTCATTAATTCACTCATTCAAAAAGTATTCATTTGATAATGCTGTTTGTAGCAACATGGAGAGATGTAGAGATGATCACACCAAGTCAGACAAAAACAAATGCCTTACAACATCACTTATATGTGGAATCTAAACTGTGATACAAATAAACTTATTTACAAAACATTAACAGATACACCAACTTAGGAAACAAATGTACTGTTACCACAGGGGGAAAAGGGGTAGGGGAGGGATGACTTAGGAGTTTGGGAGTAGCAGATACACACTGCTATAGATAAAATAGATAAAGGTCCTACTGTATAGCCCAGGGAACTATATTCGAGATCCTGCAACAAATCATAATGGAAAAGAATATACATATGTATGACTCACTCCGCTGTACACCAGAAACTAACACAACATTGTAAATCAACTGTATTTCAATAAAAAGATAAAATAAAAAAATGTTTACATATTCCCTTGATTCAGACTAGGAGCGAGGTAGCATCTCACGTACCTGGGACAAAGCCGTGGACAAAACAGAGGACGTCCCTGGCACCGTGGAGGCGACACCCTCGCGGGAAGCAGGTGGACGGGACATGACGCGCGCAGTGTGACGGAGGGTGAGGACTGCCGCAGACCGGGGCGGCGGGTGTCTGGCGGAGGCCGCCTCGCACACAGGGGTCTGGGAAGGCGTCTCCGAGAGCTGACCTTTGGCAGGGAACTCCACTCAAAGCTCCATGCTGACCTCCGGGAGGAGACCCCAGGATGGGGTGTGCGCACACACGTAGCTGATTCGCTGTGCCCGACAGCAGGAACGGGCGCCTTGTGAAGCAACTATACACCAAGTAAAAGTTTAAAATTAAAGGATAAAAATGAAACGGAAACAGGAAAACAAATAGAAGCTGGCCTTTGGGCTTGGCTGGTGGCTCCGTGGTGTAGAATTCGCCTACAACGCAGGGGACACGGGTTCAGTTCCTGGTCCGGGAAGGTCCCACGCGCTGCAGAGCGACTCAGCCCGTGCGCCACAACCACTGAGCCTGCGCCCTAGATCCGCGCGCCCCGGCGACCGAGCCACGGGCCCCGGAGCCCGTCCTCCACGACAGGAGAGGCCGCCACAAGAGCGGCCCACACCCCCCGACCAGCGAGCAGCCCCCACTTGACGCACACGG